TCGCGATAATCGCGCGTGTACTTCTATAGCAAATTTCATTATCATTTCTCTATAGTATTATTATACAGGGTGTCCCAAAAATGTGTCTCGCATTACGGAAATGTGAAAGTAATTTTTTCCTTCCAATCTGCGGCTTTGTTTGCGAGTTATTAACGAAAAACACCGACCGATGAGAGGCAATGGCGCTAAACACAACGTGGTCAATCGATCGAGCGCCATGTGCTCCTACTACTGAGTATGATAACTGAAGGGAGACTCTGTGCCGTATTCAAATCAATGAACAAGTTACGAAAAATATCAACTTTCGATACTTTTTTTGTCACGTGGCAGTGATAATTTTAAGAAAAACGCTGTTCATCCTTATTTCAGAATGTCTGAAGAATATTTACTAATTTTTCGGACTCAATAAATATATAAATATATATCTAATTTATCGCCTCTCATTGGTCGGTGTTTTTCGTTAATAACTCGTAAACAAAGCCGCAGATTGCATTTTCGCAAAGGAAAAAGTTACTTAGAATGATCTCAGCTACCCCACATTTCCGTAATGCGAGACATTTTTGGGACACCCTGTATATTTTAGAAATACATATATCATTTTTGTCGTTTAAACGTACGCGTCGTATGAATTTGTTCTGCCGTAGTACAAATAAAGTATACGAAATACTCGATTCTTGCTAACGTAACAGAATCAGGCGAGGTATCAGAGCAGACTGGATACTATATCGGGTGGTCCCGCATGTTCTGAAATACCGACATCGCTAAAAACCAGAGGCACAGACGTGGGATCCGTACAGACACTGCGTGCAATGCTTTCCTTTGTCTTATGGTCTGAATTACCGATTCTGTAGAAAATGCTGTGGTACGATAGCGGACTCTATCTAAATGGCACGGTAAACTAGTGAACTATAATATCTGACTGTAATAGATAGAAGTGTGTGTCCGAGGTGGCTAAATTTATAGGGTGCCAGCTTTTAAAACTATGTACATTGTCACCGCGTTATATCCCTATGAAAACTATCGATGCCTACATAAGTAATGCAGAAACGAATTCTAAGCTACAACGTTTTTTATTTCACGTGTTTGTATTAAACAATTATGTATGTGGCTATTGACTGAATTTTTAATTGATGTATGTTTTAATTACAATTTGCATACATATCGTGACTTTTCAAAACGCAACAACATTTTTAGAACTGGACTAAAAGACGAATTTTTTTTTAAATGATAGAGTCCACTAGACCATAACTAGAATCCTTTTTTAAAATTTTATTATTGCTCAGAATGACAAAAGAAAATAGATAAATCTCTCTGAGCCTATAACGAAAATTTAGAAAATGTTCTTTTTTGTAGATCTCAGTAAGTTGTATGCATGTTAAAAATTTCACCAAAATCGGTTGCCTTTGGTATGAGCTGTAAACAATTAAAGATCGTAAAAATCGCAGTTTCGTCCAGATTTTTGACACTTTCATTCCAGTAAGTGTGAGAAATTTGCAGTTTTTGCGATCTTTCAACGCTAGTAACTTGACTTCGCGTTAAACGATTTCGATGAAATTTTCAGCATGCATACAACTTATCGAGATCCACAAAACGCATTTATAAAATTTTCGTTATAGGCTTAGATAAAAATTAAAAAACCGAGAGTCTCTTATTTTGCTTTATCATTCCGCGTAATAGTAAAATTGTAACAAAATAGTTTAATCATTGTCTAGTATAACAGTTCCTCCATCATCTAAAAAAAAATTCAAATCGTTTATTCAAGTTAAAAAATTTGTCGCGTTTTAAGAAATATCCGAATATTAATGGGAGTCCCTGTACGTGTATGCCGCCCGACTATATAATGTATATTAATCCAAGGGATTTATAGAAAACGAGTATGGTTTAAATATACATTTATAGTTTATAAATAATGTTAATAAAATTTCCTCGCGTCTACATAACTTCTGATAATAAGCTTTATGGATTAAACATCTCGTTTTAATACGCAAGGTATTATTTCATGGCACGGAAATAATAAGGAAGGCATAAATAATTACGACGTCGTAATTGTTAATGCGTTTCCGCATATGTATACGTTGATATTCTTACATATATATATGTATATATAGAAGTCGAAGATTAACGACCGAATAATCCGCGAACGCGTTACGATTTCACAGTGACCATCGAAATCAAAACGGCCGCTTGGTGGTGCTGGCGGACTCCCGTGCGTTAACCCCACGCGACGTACGTGTGCGTGCGTACGTGAGCGTCACGATCGCGACGCCGCTAGGATGATCAGCAGGCGTTAGACGCTGGCCGAACGAAATGACCAAATTCTAAAGAAGCCCGTAGTAACGTTCGCGCACCGGTGAAAGGACGCGCTCGCAGGACGCGAAGCGCAACGCGACGAACGTCGACACGTAAATTAGGATTACCGTCACGAATACTATTACGACACAACTACGAACACGATCACAATTACGATCACGATACGGATAACGATACGAGATTATAATATAACGAACCCGACTTCGACGCGCGATCACGGGCATTATTGTATAGGGCTTTCTGGTCTATTTCTATTCTATTTTGTGTGCGTCACTATTTAGTAATATATATTATATTGTTATATAGTTATTATATTATTATTATACAGGGTGTCCCGAAAATATCTCGTAATCCGGAAATGGGAGTTCCTGAGGTCATTTGAAACAACTTTTTCCTTTGCGAAAATTCGTTTACGAGTTATTAACGAAAAACAGTGACCAATGAGAGGCGAGCTCAGCTGGCGCGAGGCAACCGAGCTACCGGCGCCAGCGGTCGAGGCGGTCGAATCCCAGCTCAGCTGGCGCGACGCGGCCGAGCCAACGGCAACGGCAATAAGAGGCGAGCTCGGCTGGCGCGAGGCGGCTCAGCCAACGAGTGCACGAAGCCCAGTTCCGCTCATTGGCTCGGCCGTCTCGCGCCAAATGATCTTGCCTCTGATTGGTCACTGTTTTTCGTCAATAATTCGTATAGTTCATGTCAAGGTCATATCAAGTTCATGTCAAGGTCATGTCAAGGTTATGTCAAGGACATATCAAGGTTATGTCAAGGACATATCAAGGTTATGTCAAGGTTATGTCAAGGTCAACATATGATATTTTAATTTAAATAATTCCGTGTTCGAACACTGTTCAACGAATGATTCGCAAAGCTAATTTAATAAATAATAATCGTATTGAAGGACGTATGGGATATGTTTGTTAGAGAAATATGAAGAATATTATCAATAACATTGACATAACCTTGATATGTCCTTGACACGACCTTGAGATAACCTTGACACGACCTCGACATGACCTTGATATGTCAAGGTTATTTGAAGTTTATTTGAAGGTCATTGATAATATTCTTCATATTTCTCTAACAAACATATTCCGTACGTCCTTTAACACGATTATTATTTATTAGATTAGCTTTGCGAATCATTCGTTGAACTGTGTTCGGTCACGGAACTATTTAAATTAAAATATCATTTACGTACTTTGTTAATCTTCACTGTACACCTTGTTTAAAATTTTCATATGTTGACCTTGACATAACCTTGACATAACCTTGAGATGACCTTGATATGTCAAGGTTACACACAAGGTGTTATGCACACTAGAAAATTAAAACGGCCGTCACGATTAAATTACTTACTATTTCGGGTTCGAAAAATTAGTAAATATTCTTCAGACGTTCTAAAGTAAAGGTGAACAGCGTTTTTCTTAAAAATATCACTGTTACNGTTTTTCTTAAAAATATCACTTTTACGTAGTAAACAAAAATCCGGAAGTTCACGCTTCGTGATTTGTTCAATACTTCGAACGCGGCTCGAGAGTCCGTCCCGTCCATCTGTCAAAGCCTCGTGCTGCGGGCTCTCGAACTTCGCGCCGTCACCTCTCATTGGTCAGTGTTTTCCGTTAATAACTCGTAAACAAAGCCGCAGAGTGCATTTTCGCAGAGGGAAAGGTTTCTTCAAATGACCTCAGCTACCCCTCATTTTCGGCTGTTAAAATAATTGTGTAACATCCTGTATATGTATATATAACGATGGACTGGCCTTTTTCCTATGAACCGTAAACGATCGACAGGTTTCGACAACTCTCAAGGAGACATTGTTATTGTTGTATTTGCGTCGACTCGAGGTCGCCCGCTACCCTAATTAACTCGTCGCGGCGATGATACGTGACGTGGATTCCGAGAATTTAACACGGTAACTAGAAGGGCAGAATTTGATTCCGTGCCGTCTTGACGTAGAAGTGGGGGTAAGGGGATCGCGGGCCGTGACCGCGAGTTCTAAATGCTTTCACTTATTCGCTTGGCTGCCTCGGATCGCGAAGGATGCGTCAACATTATTTTCGATCGGTCATTATAACCTCTCGCTATTCGGAACATTTTATTCAAGGGGTATTTTATCGTTACGATATTCAGCTGGTATATCTGATTGTCTACATATTAGTTCGTTGATATTCGTGCGAGTTACGTTGCAGATATCGTCGCGCGTCTGTGCCAAAATACTATAACCGTCGGTTAGAGAACTGCTGCAGCACAGAAATTTTGTTTCTATTTTACAGTGTTGTCGGCTCTAAAAATACAATGTACAATGTTGTACCATGTGCTTGTGACTTTCCAGCTCGTCGAATGGTCGAGACAATGTTTGTCGCTGAAAATTCAGAAAAGACTACGCAACAGACGTCGTATCTATAATTATTTGTAAGATATCCTCGTCAGCATTAACAGCATTTAATTATTATCACTCGTTGATAGCGATTCTCCACCAGGTTAAATCAATACTCTGCCGCCTTGTATGACTTTAAATTTGAAACAGCATGTTGCACCACTTTTATATTTTTCACAGACCATTTTAAGTCGCAATTTATCTACGTTTTCAATTCAAAAATTCGCCGCACATTGAATCTCACAATAAGTTATTATTATTATTAAATCTACAGGATCGGATCGGCGAGAAAATAAGAAATAAACGGGACAGGTTAATTTCCAACGTGTTATTTATTGCAAGCGAGTTTGGGAAAGGTAGTTATCGTAATGATTTCGTAATACATTCGAAATATGCGATAATATTGTCAGACTATCGACGACCTAGCGCCGTCGTTTACGCGTGTGGTACGTGTACGTGTACGTGTGTGTATTTAATGAGTGTGACGCGCATACGAGCATGTATAACTGGAAGTGTGTAAACGAGCCCTTTTCAAAAAATCGGGTTCCTCCTCGCATCACGTTAAAAACTAAACTTGTATGCTGAAGAAGAGTATGTACACTGTGGGTTCACTATTAAATAGTAATGATCTTAAGCTACAAGTAAATAGCCTACACGATTAATGGAACGTTTCTTCTCGTAAAAAATAGATTATGCAGAGCACCATGGTTTTTTTCCATTTTCTTCGTCGTCTTCATCTTCTCCGTCGATCCTCCCCGTTGATCGGACGAGAAACTTCTTCTCTCTTCATCTTGTCTCCATCTTCTTCTTTTTCTTCTTCTTCTTCTTCTTCTATATACAATTGGTTTTATTTACCTTCCACCGCGATGATCGAAATAATAAATAACGTTGCTTGCCAGCACGTTACGGAAACGCGGCTTCCGGTTGGCGAGATTACAGTGTCGCCGTTGTATAGGCGCGAGAAACAAACGAGGAACAGAAACTGACTATAAATGTGTCGCGAAATTTTATGCCCTGTGCTCAGTCTTTCACGCGCGCAGACAATTTTCCCTCGCGATCCTCGCGACACGGCTCACCGATATCTTTCAACACTACGCGATCTCGCGTGTATACCAAATTCGATGTAAATATCTGCTAATTCTTCTCCGCGACACGAGCAGTTTCAGCAAATTCAAATATCCAACAAATTTCGACGACTACTGCAGACGTGTTTTGTCATTTTCTCCAATTTCAGCTTGCAGCAATCATTTTTGAACACGTTGTTGCTACATGGATCCCTTGAATTTAACATTAGACCCACCGAGACCATTCAAAGCGGCTGACACGTTTTATCTTGAGAAAAATTGCAATGATTTATAACATGTGTTTGAATAAAGAAAGTCATTGAATCACTTCCGAAAGTTGACTATGATTTGTAGAATTATAAGACAGGAAGACTGAAACTGTTACTGTTAATGCGTGAAACCTACATTATAAAGTTAGAGTCTATCACAGTGAGTACTTGATCTCAGTGAATCTTGGTTATCGCAGCTTTTCGACCATAGAATTTAATTTCGTAAAATAGACGAATCAACGTGTTCAATCGGAATATGCTAGAAGCTTCAACGACTGTAGCAGTCACAGTATACAATGTTTAATCTGTACCAATTACCTTTGCGAAGAAGTTTCGCGTCGCTCGATCGTGATATATTTCACCAAAGTTTTTACGACGGCGAGCCGTTCGCAGGGGCGTGTAAGAGGACAGATTCCATCTCGGAGTCTTTGTTGCATCGTATAAATGTCTCATTAACGAGCTCAAAGAACCGGAGGACCCATCCCTTCGAATTTTGTCTAAGGTCTTCTTCCCGGATTGGTCGTCGAGGTCGGCCATGACGGTCGCGAGACGATCACCGACGGAGAAGACAGGAAGCGTAGAGATAGGGGTTGAGAACGAGGGTACATCGGACAGAGGGTGGAGGGAGCAACGGGTAAAACAAGTTCGAAAATTCGACCGAGGCATAAAATTTTCTTAAGACCGCCACGGAGGCTCGAAAATCCTTTTTCGACACCTGGTTTCGAGAGTCCTTGGCTCGGCCGTACAAAGATAAGTAAGATCACAAGCGTCATAGAGGCTCACGGGAGCCTCCGGGGTTAGAATAAAACGTACAAAATAATAATAATCGTTGTATATCGTGAGCATGTAGAGTGGTTTTCTGAGTTATGCGTGTCTCCACCTGTGTTTCGTCGTGTGTGCTCCGTTTGTTCGTGTGTACGTGTTTCTTACAAGTGTATCATCGCTTAAACGACTACCTTTCTCTTCGTTTATAATATATAATATATACACGCTACACAACACGCCGCTTTGTTGCCATATCGTTCGGACACATCTCACGACCACGTGACTCCTTACCCTTATATCACATATCGTATATAAGAAGGCACCAGAAGTAATTCTAGGTCAATCATCCCGCGGCTCGCGCCCCCGCGATCGAACTGTTATGCTAAAAAGACAAAACGCGCAAGCTGTCGCTTCGAATATCTCGATTTTTGCAACCTACAAATCTTACAAACACTGGGAACGATTTAATGAACGCGTAAACTTGACATACAACTCTCCGGAATTAATACTAAAATTTATATTCCTGCGGTACATCGATATTTCCTTCGTCGTTCGGAAATTTCGACGGCTGCATTAGACACTTAAGTCACGATTGTTACATCGGAGCAAGGTTAAACCGCCCGAACCTAGGATTTTTACCACCTAAGCATTTCGCAGACACTGAACACAATTTAACAAAACATGTAAACTTTACAGACAATCGGTTGGATTTAACGTTCGCGCTCGAATCTCTGCGGAACATCGAAGGTTTCCCGAGCTATCCTGGAGACTTCAACGCTCGCACGAGACATTCGATGACTGTTACTACTCTGTACTTCGATTTTTACAGTCTACAAATTTGATAGACTTCGAAAACAATTCACCGAAAGCGTAACCTTCGACGTAGGATCGATATAAAAATTTGGATTCCTGTTTAGACACTGAATATTCTAGAGCTGCTCGGAGAATTCAACGCCCACACAAGACACCTACCGACAGATATCACCTTGTCGTTCGATAGAATCTGTATTTCTATCGTTCAAAAATTTTTTATACGTTAGAACCAATTTAAATGAACGCGTAAACTCGACGAGCGAACGAACGAAATTAATATTAAAATTTGGATTCCTGTTTAGACACTGAATATTCTAGAGCTTCTAGGAGACTTCAACGCCCACACAAGACACCTACCGACAGATAGAATCTATATTTCTATCGTTCAAAAATTTTTTATACGTTAGAACCAATTTAAATGAACGCGTAAACTCGACGAGCGAACGAACGAAATTAATATTAAAATTTGGATTCCTGTTTAGACACTGAATATTCTAGAGCTTCTAGGAGACTTCAACGCCCACACAAGACACCTACCGACAGATAGAATCTATATTTCTATCGTTCAAAAATTTTTTATACGTTAGAACCAATTTAAATGAACGCGTAAACTCGACGAGCGAACGAACGAAATTAATATTAAAATTTGGATTCCTGTTTAGACACTGAATATTCTAGAGTTTCTAGGAGACTTCAACGCCCACACAAGACACCTACCGACAGATAGAATCTATATTTCTATCGTTCAAAAATTTTTTATACGTTAGAACCAATTTAAATGAACGCGTAAACTCGACGAGCGAACGAACGAAATTAATATTAAAATTTGGATTCCTGTTTAGACACTGAATATTCTAGAGTTTCTAGGAGACTTCAACGCCCACACAAGACACCTACCGACAGATAGAATCTATATTTCTATCGTTCAAAAATTTTTTATACGTTAGAACCAATTTAAATGAACGCGTAAACTCGACGAGCGAACGATCGAAATTAATATTAAAATTTTGATTCCCGTTTAGGCACAGAATGGTCTAGAGCTTCTCTCGGAGTCTTCAACTTCACTAGCCAAACTATCACAAGAAATCATCGCTCGAGTTTAAACGGAAAGTACGGACTCCAGACAGCGTCTGCGTGGCGCAAGGTAGCACAACAGTTCCTTCGCAGCCTCGTTCTTCAAGATAGCATTCTCCTCGTTTCACCGAGCCGCGGGTAACAAATGACGCGAGCTCGGCATCGACTAGGCACTTACGGCTGTCTCTCTGTATCTCGAAGATCGTCTATCGGGGCGATCCTCAACCTCCGTACGAAAGCAGAAAAGTGTACACAGACGTGGATCGATATAAAACTCTTCTCTTGGTCGCAAGAACTGGGAGGGCTGGACAAGTAGAATTTCGCTAGACGAAAATGCTCTCTCCTCGACGTTTCGAATATATATATGTACAAAGAGCGGTTAAAAAATAACATCAAGCTACCGATGCCTATCGGTTCGTATTATCACTTTCCGTTCACCGATTCGCAGACGCTCGGGAGAACTCGTGCCCGAGCCCCGACTGTATCGAGTCCTGTTCTCATCTTTCTCGATCGTTTTGGTCGTCGTGGAGGCTCGAGAGAACAAAACCGAAGAACGAGAAATGGATTCGCTCGATCGGCACGATCGGTGGAAATTTGTTATGGACTAGTCGATCGCCTCTCGCAGCGCGGCTAGCTGCTCCTCGCCGAACTTCACCTTGTCCTGGATGTCGCGACCGTCCACGATCAGCTTCGCCTTCATGTTGATGAAGTGCTGGTAATCGGCGAATTCCTCGTCGTTCAGGTACTTCGACAGGATCGTCGAGACGTTCACGCTACGCTTGTCGATGTTGCTCTTCAGGATCTTCGCCTCCTCTAGCTGGTCCACCAGCTTGTCCCTCTTGCTCTCCAGGATTTTCTGCAAACACACACGTTCATTAGTAACACGTCCTCGTTAGTCGCTCGTTACCGTCGTCGTCATTCGTCGATTTACAAATCTAAAGATACATGATTCGTTTGGAATTTCAGGTTCTCCGACGGTTCTCACTGTTCCGTCCGCGTCCATCATAAATGCACAAAGAATCTCGAATGTTTTACCCACCGATGGAACTTTCACTTCCTACGTTCTATAAATTAATACAGCCATTAAGGAATGTTTAACGCTTTATCTAGCGGACGGCTTAATTAATAGCTTCATTAACGACCTTGCTCTATCCCAAAAAAAGGCTTAATAACCACTTTGCTGGTACTCATTTCAGAGATATTGGACTACATCGCTCGAGGGTACTCGTTAGTTCGCGAATCAAATAAAATGCGGCCGCAATTTTTCTGACGATTACTAACCCTTCGCACTCGAAGCTATTTCACCAACAAGACGCAGACGTTTCTATGTCATTCTTTTCGTTTCGTTTTTATGAACTGAAGTTTTAGCAATTTCTTCATTACGGACAGATTCAGTAATGCAAGCATTGTTGTGAATTACGGTGTGACAATTTTTAACCGTTTGGCCGTTGACGTATTTTTTCGGACATATGCCGAAACTGCGGCACTAATTGCGTGTGTATGGGAAAAGATGTAAAACACTTTTCATACAATAAACTCACTTGTATTGCTTTGCAACAACAAAGATTAAAAAATACCACTTATTTACATAAATTTGTTTTAATTAATTTTCTGAATAAAATTGGTAATAAGCACTCCGCAGTCTTGGCATAAAAAAAAACAGAAGCACTACCGCGCTCTTCGCATTTTTGGCACAACATAAGAAGAGCGCGATAGCGCTCCTCAGCAGTCAAACGGTTAATAGTGCCTCGAAATCAGTGTACAATAAGCGGCTTGATTTAAGCAGCTTTGGTTAAGGTGCTCGGATTATTAACACTAGAATTACGGAGCACATATATAAAACAGCTGTTTTATATATTTATATTTATTACATTTATATATTTTACATTTATTTATGTATTTATCTATTTAAATTATATATTTATATTTATATTATATTTATATTACATTATATATTATATATTTATCTATTTTATATTAGTTTATAGAAGTAACGATTTATTCTGATTTTTAACAAGGGTTATTGTAACATTTGCCGTAAGTAACATATAAACTGAATAAATCACTCATAAATGCATCTTTGCGATACGAATGATCGTGAATTAAAAAATTAGTGACCCGCCATTTTGACGGGTTCCGTAAACCTAGCGTTGATTCGACTAAATTTTTCTCTCCGTCAATTCCGAACTTTCGATCGATGGTATGCGCAGAGGACGTACGCGTTCATAGTTCTCGGTGTTTGATTACGCCAGACATATTCGATAAATCAACGAGACTTTCCGCAAGTAGATAATTACGTCTACAATCCCCGGCCTTCCTGTTCGATAACTAGAAATTATTTTACGCCTGCATGGGTTGCCGGACGCCAATGGGGGGGAGCCCCAAGGACGCCAGGTGAATTTTCTGCTAATCGCGCAAACGCTCGATTGCCTGGTTATTTAAAATTCCACGATTCAATGAAGAAGTATCGCGTGCATGCGAGCAACGAACGGCCAAGGCAATTTGATCGAGCTGCGCGATACAGGCAGTCTATCTTTTATTTCGTCGACCGTCCTGCCCTTTTACGCACGAACAACCCTTCCACGTTTAATTGTATGATATTTGTGGTGCTAGCGTAACCAATAACACCAAGATTATATTGAGCAGTTCGCCACGATGATGAGGCTGTTTCTCACAACTTTTTACAATTTTTCATTGCTCCATTCGGGATCCTTGTGCACTTATGGCTCGTAAACGTATGGGAACAGTAAAATGTCGGATTAATTAGAACCCTCCGTTTTAGATAATTTCTCACCAAAATGATTGCCGCAATTCGTATATTTACGATACCGATCGTTTGTCAACCCTTGATTAAATGCTGAAATTGTAATTAAAGGAATAGTAATAATCAAAAGAATTAGAACGAAATAAGAAAACTATGTTTTAAATTTCTGTGTTTCGATGTCTCGGTTTCGCGAGTGTGTTCTATAAGCAAAAATAAGAGTACTAATATTACAAAAAGTCCACAAATGCTTCGTTCAGAAGTTATGACAAAATTAAGAAATGTCACAAATACGATAACACCAACGTACAAGAGACGAATTAATTACAAAAATCATCATCGCCTGCGAAGAGATTAGACAACATCGCGGCTAACTGAAATTAACAATAAATGCTGGCAACAAAAAGACGGACGTCACTTTGAAATGTAGATATAGAAATATTTAGCAACGTTTAAATCACATTTCGTATTTGTCATAAATTCTTAACAAAGCATTTACGGCCTTTTTGTTGTATAACATTTTAGTCTTATTTTTGCTTGTAGAACATGAAGAAAAAATGCGCTGTATGTAAGTACCTGATCAAGCGTTGACAAAATCCCAAGAAACGGATCTGTATCGAGAACTTTGAAGGACGAAATTCTGTATTTCGGACTCACCCTTTCAGCGTGATCGGCCGGCATTCCGTAAAGAGCGTTCTCCGCACGTGCTAGCCTGCCACTTAGGCCAAGAAGAAGGCTGGTGATCTTGCCGACTTCCTCCACGTGAAGCCGATACTTCGACGCTTCGGCGGGTCTCGCGACCGCGGAGATCCGCGTCGAAACTCGCGATCCCAGAGCTTCGTTCACCTCGCCCTCCTCCCTGACCGCCTCCTGCTCGGCCCTCAGGACTACCAGTTTCTTGTCGAGCCTCATCATCAGCTCCTCCTGCGAGGAAAATCGATTGCAGTCCGCCGGTCAAGCTTCACCGGTGCTCGTAAACCGCGATTCCACGGTCACGCGTGTTCCTCCGGAAACCGATTACGGAAGAAACGCTTTCCCGGTGATGTAAGAAGCGTCACAGTGATTTTCGAGGTCACCCGTGCTCGCCTCTATGTCGCTTTATGGAGCGAATAACGACGCGGTTTCATAGCTCGAATAATTAGTTTCACAATGACGTCGAAAGCGAAAGAACGCGAGGGAATGTTGCTTCTCGTTAGTTTTACAAAACGTTCGCGCAGGGTGACCCGTGACTTTATTACCGCGGTCGAGGTGATTCTATCCAAAAACATTGATAGTAGAATAGATAATAGAATAAAATATAGATAGTAGAACTATGAAAACACAAATTTTCCTATTTGAAGCTTCGTTTTTCGAGAGAATCGAGTGCAATCGACAAGTAGAAACGGATCTTCGCAAATGAAGAAATCGTATTTTATATTTTCCACTTATTTTTCCACGTGGAATCGATGGGCCAAGAAGTTGTGTCTTAATAACCCCTTGCCCTCAGATATCGCGTCCCAATAACGCTGTCCACAATATCAACTAAAACGTGGAAACAAAATTTTGTTTACCAACGCTGTCCACAATATCAACTAAAACGTGGAAACAAAATTTTGTTTACCAACAAACACAGGAAAAATTGTTTCGCACTTCTAACTGATCCGGCATTCTACAAATAACTTCATAAAGCGAGGAATTAAATGCATAGGTATTTTCTCGCCTACGAAATATTTCCCGGATATTAACTTTATTCAGTTCTCTTTAATTATGCCATCCGATCTGTCAGTTCCTATTCATGTCCCAAGATACCAAACAATATTCAAACATAATACTATTTGCACTGCCTCCATATACAGGGTGTCCCAAAAATGTCTCGCAATCCGAAAGTGGCGGGTTTCTCGGGTCATTCGAAGTAAGTTTTTCCTTTACAAAAATTTTCTCCGAGACACCGTTAACGAGTTATTAACGAAAAACAGTGACCAATGAGAGGCGAGCTCATCTGGCGTGAGGCGGCCGAGTCAACGGCGCCAGCGGTCGAGGCGGCCGGGCCAACGGCGCCAGCGGTCGAGTCGAATCCCAGCTCAGCTGGCGCTCACCTCTTATTGGTCAGTGTTTTTCATTAATAACTCGCAAACGAAGCCTCGGAGAAAATTTTCGCAAAGGAAAAAGTTGCTTCAATTGACCTCAGGAACCTCCCATTTCGGATTGCGAGACACTTTCGGGACACCCTGTAGATATAATACTCAAGTCTTTTAAATCGAAATAAGATTCTACGCTTCTATTCTCAATATTTAAACGTGAAAGTACAGCAATTTCTCCCTAATTCGCTCAGATTGCGCCCAAGAATGTACAATTTGGGAAGAGAAAATGCTATTATTCGATCCTTGCTGCTCGCTTTTATAGATACCGCGATTGTCAACAACTAACAAATAAAAGCAACACGCGAGACTCGAACAATCGTATCTCCTCTGAGCGCAAATTAAGGAAAAACTGCTATAACTGTTGGTATACAATACACATTCTTCGTTCCCGTGTAGAAATTTAATAGAAACAAAGTGCTACTCAACGCAACCGTGAATGAAATCTTAGTGCAAGAGACTAAGTTTCAAAGACAAATCGATCTTTCAATAACAAAACCTTCCGGCCAAGTGCTTGAAACTATTTCTGGCATTTCGTTGTCGGATTATTGCGATTCAAAAATTGCTACAAGCTCGTCGACCTACCTTCTTCTGCCTGAGATCGAGGCTGTCCGTTGGGATAACAGTAGCTGCATCCTCTTGACGCAAACCCTCGACGGTTACGTCCCTCGAGTATCTCGTGAGGAACCTGGCTTTTCCTTCGGACGTTGTAAAGTATGCTGACGTGGACGACAAAGGGCTGACCGATTCGGCCGAGATCGGGGTGACCGGTGTCGAGGGTATCGAGGGTATCGACTCGTGTCTGCAAATGGAAACACATCGACGTTACGATAGCTTAATCATTTACCTTCTTCGAAATATCGAATCGCGGTTACATTGGTTCGCCTGATCTGTATAGAATGCGGTTTTTATGCACCGATGATGAAAATAAGCGAGTGAAATTCCGGACAGTGAAAACCAGGGTTGGGCACACGGATTGCCTTAAATCGAACTGATGAAACACATTTGGATAATAGATAATGCTTTGGTATTTATTGGATGTTCGGATAATCGAGGTTCTACTGCGATTACCCTCACTTTTGCAATCTTGTAAGAGAATTTGTATTTTTCTTAAGTTTTTAATTTACGATTATTCAGCTTGTAAAATTATATTTATGATATATAATATATTATTATGTTATATATTATTTAGTTAAATAAATATAAATAAATAAATATATTAATATATGTATATATACATAAATAATGTATATTATTGTTTATTATTTATGTATATGTATATATATATATGTGTGTATTTTTTTACATTTATTCTGATTTTTAACTTGTGTTATTGTAATATTTGCCCCAAGTAACATATATATGTATATTACAATATTATATATATTACAAAATATTACAATAACACAAGTTAAAAATCAGAATAAACGTCTTCTTGTTACTTTTACAAACTAATATAACGCAGCTCCTTTCGGTGCTCCGTAAATCCAGTGTTAAAGATCTATAGCCGCCATATAATTTTCTGAATTTGCTAAATTCTAATCAGATCCCTAGATCTCTAATCTTTCTAAGCAAATCTAAGGAGACAACTGAACGTCGCTACTTTTTCCGATCGAGACGTACCCTACCGATTTCCGTAGGAAAGTTAATCACGTGTTGCATCACTCGCATGACTCACGGTTGCCTGGATCGGCACGATTCGGGGAAGAGGGATGGTCGATTGATTTACGGTCACCGCACAGGAACGCGACTTGTCTCGCGGCAGAAGTCACGCGCCGCGTGGAAGATGACGAGGTCAACGCGCGCGCCACTGGGGGTTTCAAGTTCGCGGAATCAGAGAAGTGCTCGGCGCTGGCATCCGCCCGAGATAAGTGCGGTTTTATCTTCAAGAGCACGCGGGATCTGCGCGGCGGCTCCATCGCGCGAGGAGAAAGTGATAAAGAAAGGAAAGCTGCAGGCGGAGTGACCGCTCCGGAGGCGGTTCGAAAAGTAACCACGCCGATCGACCGGCTATTACGGACTCCGGCAGCTAGGCGTCGCAATTAATGAAAACCGGAAGCGGAGTTGGTGGGATCGTTGGGAGTTTCATCGCCGTTTGCCTCGCGCATCTTGAAACTGGATAGGGAGACGGGCTCAGGTGCTTCTCGAGTAGGTTCGAACCCTAACAACCAACTATATATACGGCACAATTGAAAAAGATTCTACGTGAAACATTTAGCTCGAAGTATACATATCGTTTTGTATAAAAAAGTGCATTTCAAGGTCGTTTTATATTCTTGCTCCAATGATTTTTGATTTCAATTTTAGACAACGTGGAGATGATTCTTCGTGAAGAACTCTATTGAAAATGTAGAATAATATTTTTCCATACGAAGCATTGGTTTTGAGAAAACCGAGTTCGATGTTTTCGTTCGGTGTCTGATCACGACTGTCCGTATCTACTTGGAAACAGCGAAAACTCGATTTTCTCGTAAACGAAGGCACGTACGAAAAAATCTTTTTCTGCGATTTCGATGCAGTTCTTCCCATAGAATAGTTCCCTTCTAATTGCAAGAACAAACGTACAACGAATAAATAAAAAAAGAATATTGTTTCAAAGCGGAGTTCGAACTCGTGTTCCAAAAAATATTAACCGATGTTGTTGATTCAAAATCAACAGTAAAAATTTAAGTGATTCTCTACGAATTATTTGTCAATTTTTCTGTGAGTGTGCGAGTTAAAATACGATCTTATAATCGATTTCATGGTTGTCTATTTCTTGTCGAACAGAAATAAAAGTAATTCACTCGGCAGTTTCCCGACAACTTTCCTCCGAGGAAATTATCTTTTTCCCTGAGACGAACCGGGGGAATGCAAGCACTCCCCTAACGTCTTTCGGCGGAGCACGCTGTTTACACGGAACGAATCGAGCCGCAGTTTACGAGGAACGATCGAGCTAATCGCAGATTACTATGAACCGCGGCTACCGCGAACCCTTTGAAACGTACTTTCCCGAGCGCGTCGGTTCCATCTTCCAGGATCCGATCGAAACGATGTCGCCGCTCGTCCGTCGCGCACTGCCGGAGAAAATGATGCGTAGACCACCGACTAACCGGCCTAACAATATCATTTATGGCTAGTTACGCAATGATCTTGCGCCTCTGGTACTTTCTCCCGGCGCGTGCCGGCGTAAATATTGTCCTCGAGCGATGGGGCTACCGAGTGCCCGTTCACCCGGCGGAAATAATTGCTCGTCAATTTTCGACACCGATCGACCCGTCCGTAATACATGCTCGACCTATTTACTCACCAAGTGGGCCAGTCGGGCCGCTCTCAACCCATTGACTGGCACGCAAATTTAGCGCGTCTTGCCCTATATAAATAAACTACGATACAGTAACATCGGAATTAGGCGGACTATATATATATATATAAGTCATCCCTTTATTAATTTCAAATTTATATATTAAACACAGGCTTCGAGGTTTTTCAATCGTCCGCAATTATTCTGCGCGGAGGATGCGCTTATCAATTTTTATCTCGAAAACTGTTCGCTCGATTAAGTTGAAGTTTCTTTTATTTCGATCGGAAAGACTTGGCCTATCGAGGGAATTTTTCCTAATTTCAAAGTTAATTTGACGAAGTTGATATCTGCGAAACAGATTCGTGCTTCGAAATTTTGACTGCCACGCAAATTTAGCGCGTCTCGCCCTATATAAATAAACTACGATATAGTAACATCGGAATTAGGCGGACTTTATATATATATATAAGTCACCCCTTTATTAATTTCAAATTGATATATTAAATACAGGCTTCGAGATTTTTCAATCGTTCGCAATTATTCTGCGCGGAGGATGCGCTTATCAATTTTTATCTCGAGAACTGTTCGCTCGATTAAGTCGAAGTTTCTTTTATTTCGATCGGAAAGACTTGGCCTATCCAGAGAATTTTTCCCAATTCCAAAGTTAATTTGGCGAAGTTGATATCTGCAAAACAGATTCGTGCTTCGAAATTTTGACTGCCACGCAAATTTAGCGCGTCTCGCCCTATATAAATAAACTACGATATAGTAACATCGGAATTAGGCGGACTTTATATATATATAAGTCATCCCTTTATTAATTTCAAATTTATATATTAAACACAGGCTTCGAGGTTTTTCAATCGTCCGCAATTATTCTGCGCGGAGGATGCGCTTATCAATTTTTATCTCGAAAACTGTTCGCTCGATTAAGTTGAAGTTTCGTTTATTTCGATCGGAAAGACTTGGCCTATCCAGAGAATTTTTCCCAATTCCAAAGTTAATTTGGCGAAGTTGATATCTGCAAAACAGATTCATGCTTCGAAATTTTGCAACGGTTAACCCATTGACTGCCACGCAAATTTAGCGCGTTTTGCTCTGGGTGCCACGGTTTTATTTGAAAGAAAACATGATGTTTTACAAAATATAATAATATTAAGTTACTGATATAATATTGCAATGGCATTTACAGCATTCTTTTTTATTGATAATCAATATGTTCTCTACACTATATACATTTTTCATTCATCCTTTCTAATAGTTCCTAACTCAAATAGCCATCTGTAGTCAACCTAAACTTGCAGCACCCACTACGAGATATCTCGTAGCTGGCAGTTTTGGTACAGACGCTTACTTCGAGATATCTCGTAGTTGGCAGTCAATGGGTTAATCGATTATTCTCTGAATCGTTACGCATTTATGGTACGTGGAAAATAAAATATAAGAACGCTATTTATCTTCCACTCGATTAAAGAAACTTCTCACTGCTTTTTTTCAAATAATAGGTCTGTGTCACTGGACTAATTGATTTCCAATGCATCGAGACGATAAAAATCGGCTTTGAATAAATTAATAGATCATTTAAGATCTATATAAAAGCTTCTAACGCTGGCTTGACGGAACAATATATAAGTAGCTATTTTATGGTTACATCATAGAAATTAATATATATATACAAACCTCCGACGATTTTTATTATAATACATGTCCGATGAAACAAAGTTCATTGAATAAATTCCCCACAAATATGCAGTTCTAATTTCAATAACCGAAAACGCAGAAATGTTGAAATTACGCGTTCTCAAATCTCGATTGACGCGAAGATAGCTCAAAGATCACCGGAGAAGATCGTATTTTCAGTCGATTGTTTCACAGATTATTTCGAGCCGAAGATAGCGGGGCTCTGTGAGATGATTTTAGGGAACAGACCAGCCAGTTCGAGTCGCAGGGTGAAACTTTTCATGACCTTGAGAACGGCGAACAGTTGGAGGCTTGAACGCCGAGCGATAAGTTACGGATCGCGCCAAGTTTATTCAGCTGTCGAGTCCTGTCATCGTCTCGCCGCGGGGAGCGTCCGCCGGTGAAAAACGACAATTAAATCCCGACGGTAATGGCGATTCGTTAACGACGCTCGCGAGCTACGCCCACGCGCGCTCGCCGGAGAATAAAGGATCTCTGTGAACGATTCTCCGCACGACCTCTTTAGCCACGCGTCCAAGACGGAGGATCAAGTTCAATACGCGGCGAATATCGAGATAATTCAATTTCGTTTCGCATTTGTATTACAAGTTCTGCAAGTAATTATGTTGCGGTGACCATTAACCCTTTCGCTACGGGCGGGTTCTCCACCGCGGTACTTCCGCTGAACGGAGCGCCGCGACATCGCTGCACGCTACGCGACGCCGATCGTCAGCGGGAGTACCGCGGCGGAGAACCCAAGCTGCTTGAATGTTTTCGTACGAAAAAATTTCTCTCCAAAGGGTATTTATAAATAAAGGGTATTCCAGGGTATTTATAACGTCTTAGCATGCGCTCTTTAATTTACAGTATGAGAGGAAATAACATTATGCAATATAATGCATCTTATGGAGGGCCACTATAGTGGCCCATAGTACCTCAGTGGCATCTTATGAAAGGCCACTATAGTGGCCCGTAGTACCTCAGTGGCATCATACGAAAGGCCACTATAGTGGCCCGTAGTACCTCAGTGACATCTTATGATGGGCCACTATAGTGGCCCGTAGTACCTCAGTGGCATCTTATGAAAGGCCACTATCTGTCTCTTATACACATCTAGATGTGTATAAGAGACAGCTATAGTGGCCCTCCATAAGATGCCACTGAGGTACTATGGGCCACTATAGTGGCCCTCCATAAGATGCCACTGAGGTACTATGGGCCACTATAGTGGCCCTCCATAAGATGCCACTGAGGTACTATGGGCCACTATAGTGGCCCTCCATAAGATGCCACTGAGGTACTATGGGCCACTATAGTGGCCCTCCATAAGATGCCACTGAGGTACTATGGGCCACTATAGTGGCCCTCCATAAGATGCCACTGAGGTACTATGGGCCACTATAGTGGCCCTCCATAAGATGCCACTGAGGTACTATGGGCCACTATAGTGGCCCTCCATAAGATGCCACTGAGGTACTATGGGCCACTATAGTGGCCCTCCATAAGATGCCACTGAGGTACTATGGGCCACTATAGTGGCCCTCCATAAGATGCCACTGAGGTACTATGGGCCACTATAGTGGCCCTCCATAAGATGCCACTGAGGTACTATGGGCCACTATAGTGGCCCTCCATAAGATGCCACTGAGGTACTATGGGCCACTATAGTGGCCCTCCATAAGATGCCACTGAGGTACTATGGGCCACTATAGTGGCCCTCCATAAGATGCCACTGAGGTACTATGGGCCACTATAGTGGCCCTCCATAAGATGCCACTGAGGTACTATGGGCCACTATAGTGGCCCTCCATAAGATCTGTCTCTTATACACATCTAGATGTGTATAAGAGACAGATCTTATGGAGGGCCACTATAGTGGCCCGTAGTAGCGAAAGGGTTAAAAGTCATGTTTCAATGGTACAGCTTCATGCGTTCACGGCGGCTGGAGGTACATACATGAAATACGAGACCGTTGAAACGTTTTCTTCACTTTTACCGCGACGAGAGGAAGCTTGTGTTCTCCCATGGGAATACTATGCCTGGTAAAAATTATTCGAACACCTTTTAACCCTTAGCGCTCCGTTGGCTCCGCTATGGAAACACCCGTCATTTGTTCCGTAAATCCGAAGGCTCTGCTGCGGAGCCCAATTTTTTTTAGCATGATTACACCGAAGATAACTTAATCATCGCCGCGGCCTCGATCCGTCGATGGGATACGACAGTGGCGAACCGCAAGCTATTTCGATCTCAAAAGACGCGAAAATCACAACCACCGTGCGATCTTTTACGAGTTGGCCTCTGAATGAATGCGAAAAGATGTCACCTGTTTCGCTGTCCATTAGAGATTTCTTTTTGCTTGAACAGTTAGCTGCTTTTCACGCGTATACTCGTCGTAGCACGAAATGTTGCGATATCTACGCGACGAGTATACTCGTCGAAAACAGCTGAGAATAGTTCAGAATAATTTGATATTCTATATTTGATTATATACTTTATAACAGTGTTGTATTTGAACAAATTATAAAGAAAATCAAACATATACAGCACAATTATAGTAACCTGTACACTTTTTCGAAGAGATTGCAACAGCTAACCGGTTACATAAGTACTGTCTGTTCAACGTTTAATGTTTCCATTGTATGGATTTTTTGTACAGCATGATCCTACGATCTCTTCGAAATGCAACGGTGTATTTTTTTAGTAGTATTGTGTATATTTGAACTTATTTAAACGATGCATAAAGAGAGCAAGGCACCATAAAGACAAGTCGAGGGATTCTACAGAATTATTGAATATAAACATTGTTGTTGTATTTTCGGCGATTTAAGCAGAACAAATTTCTAAAACTAAAAATCTGTCATTTTCATGCCGAAACGTGAATAGAAATTCTCTATTGGAACGCAAAATTGGCGTTGAACGCATTATTATTTACATTATTATTTGAATATCAATATCGCTTGTTCAACAATTAACTAATAACTTGAATCGTAATATACCATGATTTTTATGCGCAAGCATGAATATTTAACGCGTGTACACTTGCCGTAATCTTCGACCGAGCATACTTAGCTGGTCTCGCTAGAAGTTAGCAGAGTATAATAAACGATTAATAAAACATCTTAGAGCGTGTCACAAACTTAAACATTCGTCTTCGTTTCATCGACACGCTACTGACGCAAACTTATTCAAATTCACGCAAACTACTGCAAATTAACCCTTAGCGCTCCGTTGTCTCCGCTATGTTGACACCGAAGATGCTATGTTTTTGTCGACGTTGGCAATTGTTATTTGTAGTGAAAACGTGCTTAGCGTGTGTACCATTACGATTAAAACATTTTTTGCCCATTTTTATACTTAGCAACATAAAATGAATAAAATCAAACGCTTTCGCGAGGACGTGTAATCTTTTCCGCTCGAAATAAGGCTTCCTTCATCTCGGGCGCTTTGCTCCAAAAATGTGCCGAAGTTGCTGGTAGTGATATTTTTCAGAAAAACACTGTTCATCTTTATTTTAGAACGTCCGAAGAATATTTACTAATTTTTAATTTAATTTAATTATTAATCGAGTCGATTCCAGCGAAGATTAACGATAAAAAAGTTCCGACAAACTCATGCAAAACATATTTTTGTTTCGATAATTCCGTATCGAAACAGAATTCAACAGACGATTCGCGATGCTAATTTTATAATAAATCGCGTCAAAGAACACGAGGCATATATTTATTTAAGAATTGCGAAGAATATCATTAACAGTAAATTTACCCATTTCTCAAAATAAGGTTTCCTTTATCTCGGGCGCTTTGCTCGAAAAATGTGCCGGAGTTGCTGGTAGGTAGCACTCGAGAAACACGTGGAGCGCTAAGGGTTAAAACGCGATTACTTTTTTCCATCTGTACCAAACGAATCGATCGTTTCTTTTTAATATCGGAGGCACTTAGCATACTGTACAATGACTAAAAATACTGTTCTATTCAATTTTGCTATTACTTCCAATAACAAAAACGTTTCTTCAACTTTTTATCGGAGCTTGTAACGAAAATTTAGAAATTGTATTGTTATGCAATCACAGTTTATCGAAGGTTATTTCTATTCCGTTGCCAGCTAAGTTTTGCCGTTACGTTTAACGAGAAACCGTGGCTGGCGTGTGCCGTGCGTGTAAATACGAGAAAATTAATCCTGATACTGAGTCGAGCATTAAAAACACCGCGGGGAAATCGCGATCGATAATCGTCGGGGCCCGTGTTCTCGAGCTGGTTCGGTGAAAGTGCCAGTCGCGTGGGGCAACCTGTATGAAATATCGGCGTCCTGTATCATCTAGGAAGATCAAATCGCGTTTATGTAACGATAATGACAAGCTGTCGAATCGTTGTGCACGTTGGATACGAGGATCTTATTTGTTCCAAAGGCTGCGGGTCCTGCAGCGAGAAACCGAAGAATCGGACTCGCTGGAACAATCGTAAACTATGGAGGATTCTAGACAGGTGACTGGGGGAAGCTGTCGCGGTGATGCAACCGGTGCACTTGCATTGGCTGCAAACTTGCATCCGTGCACTTCCTTACTATCTCTTCGTTTCTTAATTTTTTTCTTGAAGATTTTTAGCATTCTCGCGTCGATAAAAATTGCCCGAGTTTTGCAATCGTTGAAACTGCTCTGAAAATTGTCAACCACGTTTTATGTAATTTAGAAAGATTCCCATCTACATGTATTGGAATATGATAAAACTGCTAATAGATTTTTTTAAAGACATTTTGTATAAAAATCTGCTTATCAAAATATATTCAATTATTAGAATTAAGAGCATATTATAGAATTATAAAATATAATCTAGCTACAAAATTATAAAATATAATCTAGCTACAAAATTATAAAATATAATTCCTGAAGCATCTGTTAACCCTTTAAGTATTTATCTTGTATACGTGTTACGAGTGAGAGCCACATTGTCGTTTCTTTTTATATTCATAATATAAGTGCAAGTAATATAATCTGAATGGCCATATAAATAACCCCATAAAAATACAGCAAAATGCAAATATTTCATTTACCATACTCTCCAGTTTCGGTGAAAGAGTTAACCGCGTTTCCGGTGAAACACAGTTTTCGTAAAAGAGAATTATCTGGTCATCAAACATTACGTAAAGTCGCGCATCGATTTAATTTTCTGCGAGAAACAGTCGCCGAAAGTCTTCCACCGCGGGAGAGACCTCGCACAATCTTTCCTTTCGCAACCGCGTCGAAAAACGCGTCGCTCCTCCCCTGTAATTCGAAAGAAACGAACGCGTTCGAAGCGTCAACAGCCTTTGGGCCGCTATGCAAATACGCATTTTTACAGGAACGAAATTCTGAAAACTGCCGGAGCAGCTGGCGCATTAAGGCGCATTACATTCTGAACCGAATTAATTTCCACTAAAATCCGTGTTCGGCGAACGATCGGCGGACCAATGATTACTCGCGGCGAGCAATTACTCGAAAATTGATCTCGAGTGACGCGCGCTGCGTCCGCGATGCTTACTTTTTCTCGTCGTCGGCCCCGTTTTCAGAGCACGGGCTCGCGGGCTCTTCGAGGGACAGCCGGCGCCGTGGTCTCGGCTGCAAGGTCGCCTCCACCCTGAACAGACCGGAAACGTAGTCGGTGGGCTTCTTGTGCTCCGGCGCTGGAACTGATAACACACACACGAAATCGTTACACGCTTATATGTGTTAGACTTGGGTTCCCCCTTCGGCTTCGAGAGAGGGCTTGCCAGGGCTCGCGAAGCCGTATCGCGCGTGTTCAATATCGCGGGAATGCAGCGTCGGCTAATTGAATAACGCGGCGGTTCATTGGGTTAGCGTTTATTAAAGGAAAAGGTCGTCGCCCTCCGGCAACGTGCTCCTTCGCCGGTGACGCACGATTCTGTGAGACCGTTTGTTGCTCATTGATTCAACCGTGCCGGTTGTGGTTCGATAAGTAGACCACCGCTGTGTGTGTGTACAATATTTTTCCTCGGACCTTTGATCTGGATCTAAAGCAATCAGCGGAGGAAAAAGGTGGTTGGCAATTTTAAGATAATTCTCGATGGTGCGGGATACGTGGATTATTTGGTCAGTTAGTTCGAAGGGAATTGCTGCAGGGAAAGGATCTCAGCTGCGAGATTTTAGATAAGATTTTCCGAGGTTGTTCATTATGAAACGAGAAATGAAAAGTTGTGCCGGTGACAATTTGATACAAATTCGCGGTGAAACCTGCTGGATAAGTGCACACTTGTTTGTAAAGTTTCAGAAAAATGTTTAGGAATAGAGGATCTTCAGGTGTAAAATTGCACATTGTAAAACAAGAAAGAATGGTAATTACAGTTGCAGTTTCGAGATAAATTGCAACGAAACGTGCAGGATATGTGCATACTAATTTATTAGAATTGCAGAAAAATGTTTACAAGTAGAGAATCTCCATGTGCAATGTTGTCTATTGTAAAACAAGAAAGAATGGTAATTGCAGTTGCAGTTTCGAAATAACTCGCAATGAAACGTGCAGGATATGTGCATACTTATTTATTAGAGTTGCAGAAAAATGTTTACAAGTAGAGAATCTCCATGTGCAATGTTGTCTATTGTAAAACAAGAAAGAATGGTAATTGCAGTTGCAGTTTCGAAATAACTCGCAACGAAACGTGCAGGATATGTGCATACTTATTTATTAGAGTTGCAGAAAAATGTTTACAAGTAGAGAATCTCCATGTGCAATGTTGTCTATTGTAAAACAAGAAAGAATGGTAATTGCAGTTGCAGTTTCGAAATAACTCGCAACGAAACGTGCAGGATATGTGCATACTTATTTATTAGAGTTGCAGAAAAATGTTTACAAGTAGAGAATCTCCATGTGCAATGTTGTCTATTGTAAAACAAGAAAGAATGGTAATTGCAGTTGCAGTTTCGAAATAACTCGCAACGAAACGTGCAGGATATGTGCATACTTATTTATTAGAGTTGCAGAAAAATGTTTACAAGTAGAGAATCTCCATGTGCAATGTTGTCTATTGTAAAACAAGAAAGAATGGTAATTGCAGTTGCAGTTTCGAAATAACTCGCAACGAAACGTGCAGGATATGTGCATACTTATTTATTAGAGTTGCAGAAAAATGTTTACAAGTAGAGAATCTCCATGTGCAATGTTGTCTATTGTAAAACAAGAAAGAATGGTAATTGCAGTTGCAGTTTCGAAATAACTCGCAACGAAACGTGCAGGATATGTGCATACTTATTTATTAGAGTTGCAGAAAAATGTTTACAAGTAGAGAATCTCCATGTGCAATGTTGTCTATTGTAAAACAAGAAAGAATGGTAATTGCAGTTGCAGTTTCGAAATAACTCGCAACGAAACGTGCAGGATATGTGCATACTTATTTATTAGAGTTGCAGAAAAATGTTTACAAGTAGAGAATCTCCATGTGCAATGTTGTCTATTGTAAAACAAGAAAGAATGGTAATAGCAGTTGCAGTCTCGAGATAACTCGCAACGAAACGTGCAGGATATGTGCATACTTATTTATTAGAGTTGCAGAAAAATGTTTACAAGTAGAGAATCTCCATGTGCAATGTTGTCTATTGTAAAACAAGAAAGAATGGTAATTGCAGTTGCAGTTTCGAAATAACTCGCAACGAAACGTGCAGGATATGTGCATACTTATTTATTAGAGTTGCAGAAAAATGTTTACAAGTAGAGAATCACCAGACGCAAAGTTGTTCATTGTAAAACAAGAAAGAATGGTAATTGCAGTTGCAGTTTCGAAATAACTCGCAATGAAACGTGCAGGATATGTGCATACTTATTTATTAGAGTTGCAGAAAAATGTTTACTAGTAGAGGATCTTCAAGTGTAAAATTGCTCATTGTAAAACAAAAAATAAAGATAACTGCAGTTGCAGTGTCAAGATAACTTGTAACAAAACATGCAGGATTCGTGCACACTTATTTAGAAAGTTTCAGAATTGTGTTTACAAGGAAATGATATTTATGCGATAAATTTTAGACATGATTTTGTAGGATCGTTCCTCGTGAAACAACGAATGACGACATAGTTCCAGTGGCACCTTCGAGAAAATGTGTACAAGAAAAGTATCTTTAATTGCAAAACCTTAGGAATGATTTTCGGTTACTGTTCATTGTAAAATAAAAAATGAAAAATGAAACAAGAAAAGAAATTTTTAATGAAACGAGCAGGTTGTATGGACACGTATTTATAGAGTTGCGAGAAAATCGTTGCAATAAAAGAATATTTACGTGCAAAATTTTATATACGATTTTCTCGCGTGGTGTATTGTGGAACGAGTATTACAAGTTTTGTATCGAAGACAAGTTTCTAAAGAAGATAAATTCGAAAACATGTTAGCAAGATAGGAAGACGATTATGGATATTAGGTTTAATAGGGAGATGACGGTGCTGCATCACAGTGTGCATTCATTCTAAGTAGAAACGGTGAGTAATAGACGGACATATTAGTAAGCCGTGTTCTTCGAAGCCGCTCGCTCCTCTTGACGCGAATAATTTTTAATTATTTCATACGCTGGACGGAAAGTATTGGTTGCATCGCATTATTATTCACATCTCTTGCATTTAATAATCCAAAAATTCAAACCGGCTCTCAATGCAAAAGGAGATCCGTAAAGTCTCTCGTGATTCTATTTGCTCGACTCGATTTAATTTAGTCATCTCGAGCGCGCGCGTGCCACTTTTCATAATTAACTCCTACGAATCAAACAGGTTTAGAAGTCGCTAGAAAATTGGATTCAATTTGACACGTTTCCAGGCCACGAGGGTTAAGGCTTTCCGAAGCAGGACAAGTTCGCGAGAGTTATAAATAAAATTGCCAACTAGGATTAAAATTAGTCGAACCGCGGTGAAGAAAGTTTTGTCTACGCCGTGGAGCGAGCGTGGTGCACGGTGCAACTGGTACGTGCCAAACCAGAAAATGATATAAAATCGTCGGCCAGAGGGTTCGAAGCTGGAAGTTTGACGACGCTATTAGCCGCACTAAATCTGTTGGCTTACGTTAAGTCGTTGAGGAATGACGGCCGGGAAAATACCGATACCGGCGATGTTTGCGTGGCTTTTATTAGACGTAATCGACACGGATGCGAGTAAGCCGGGATTAGACTAAACCGGGAATTAAAGTCTCTGCGAGATGTGCATCGCTGGATATCGCAAAGGATAGTTTATTCCGGATCGTAAAGTGCAATCTGGTTTCTCGACGTAAGTGGCTTCCGATTTGTTCCGTAATAAATAAATTGAATGTTGATCCTACGGCGCGAGTGTTGATCCTCCTGACAGAATCGGCCCTCTTCCAATTAGGCTTCGGATTGGATCCCAGTTCGATGGAAATTGCTTCGTGGGCAATTAAGAAACACTGTGTCGCTATAGTAATGTCTCCCTAACTGACGCTCAGATTGTGCACAAAAATGGACAATTTGGAAAGAGGTGATACGATTATTCGACCCTTGCGGTTCATTTTTATAGTTACGAATTGTCAACAACTATAAAAACGAGCTGCGAGGCTCGATGAATCGTATCTCCTCTTCCTAAATTGTCAATTTCCGTGGACAAGCCGAGCGTCAATTAGAGAGACATTACTACTTCGCAGCAAATTTCATTGGCTAAAGACCAGGAATTTTGAAATTCTGTTCAATTTTGACATAGTTAATTAGTACCGTGCGATAGGAATGTTGTAAAATATATTTCATGAAAATTGGAGCCCACAGAATTTTATTAGATTGGTGAATAAGTTCGTAGCGTTTTTATATTTTCTATTTTACAACGATTTTTTGCTGTTTGACAAAACGTATAATATTCATTCGATAGAGCCCTTTCTGCTCTACAAAACTGTGTTAATCGTCTTTTTGAGTAATTTAATTGTTTATTACTTTTGAGGCTTAGAAATGGAATATCCAGGAGGTAAAAAGCAACATTTTCGACACCTTCTCTTCTTCGCTTTTCGTAGAGGCGACAGCACGGAAATGGTTTGCGAAGTTCAAAAATGGCGATTTTGACGTCGACGACACGCCCCGCAGCGGAAGACCTTCCGAATTCGACGAAGAGCGTCTCAAAGCACTTTTGAAGGAGGACGGTCACCAAACAAGTCGTGAATTGGCCGAAAAAATGAACTGCGATCATAAAACGATTCTCAATCATCTTCATTCGATGGGATTTGCCGAAAAATTTGGAGCCTGGGTGCCTCAAGAGCTTAACGAAAACAACAAAGAAAATCGCCTTCAAATAAAAACGCTACGAACTTATTCCCCAATCCGATATTTGTGCGCGTTTAATTAGTCGGTAGCACAGATTTCTATGGAGTATAACGTTTTTTTTATTTGGTATATTAAGGATTTCATTATTCTGTGCTAATAGACAAGGGAACACGCGCGATGCAGGAGAAACCGGAACTCAGGGGAAAACGAAGGAGCAGTTCTGGCGCAGGACAGGTCCGAAGCCAGGATTACACGTCGCTCCTTTTTGCTTCTGTCGAAGAAACTAATTTCTTGGCTAATAGACCGGAGTACAAGATTGCCTCCCACTTGGAACTCGATTACACATTTCTGAAGGAAATGCTATATTAATTATCTTTAACCTTTGTTGAACCTCAGAAATTAATTCCCCGGTTAATAGACTAGAGGTACAAGCTCGTATCGCGGCTCGAATTTGATTACGTGCTTCCAAAGGGAATGCTGTCTTAATTATCTATAATTACCGCGCACTGTTCCTATAATCGGTGCATTAATATTGTGCGCGTCGAATTAGAGCGAAGTTGACAAGCAATTATGAAAAATCAACTCAATTTACTACCATATCGCGTTCGATCTAATGAACAGTTTGTGTTTAATTAATTTCGACAGGTTTACAATCCTAATTATGTCTATGCATAACTCGATAGAGGGTCTTTATCAATCCTTTAATCTTATATGCTATGAAAAGTCCGATTACATGTTTCTGCCGATATAAACAGTTCCAATTGAGTAAAACCAATTATTTCGCTAACGCATTTTTACGCGAGCACCGGTTAAAAGACTTTTTACGATATGGGAATATTGCCGGGGCTAAAGATAACGTTGAACTAATGCCTTCCCGACCACCTTCTCCGTTAATTGCATCCGTCAATGTTATACAACATCCCTGCACGCCTATTACGAGGAAAGTTACGACAGCCACCTTGACCACCCAAGGATCGAAACGCCATGAAAACACTCACCCAGAAGAGAAACCAGCTTGTCGTTAGGATTCAGCTGGCTGGCCAGGTCGCGTCCCAGTTCCTCGCACTCGATCTCCTCGGGCAGCTTCTTCCGGCAAAGAGGCATCTCGTGGCTTTTGGTGCAGACTTCGGCTTCCGACGTCTCCAATAGATCGGTCTGCGAGGCGGCGTCGCTGGTAGCAGTGTTCACCCGCAGAACGACCTCGGATCTCTGCACCAAGGTCAGGCCCTCGATGCCAGGCTGCGGAGAGACGCACGGTGACGCAGGCGGGGAGATCTTGGTCTCCTGAACCGGGGAGCTCCTCGGCGACGAGGACGAGGAGGAGCGTTCTCCGGACCTGGACTTGGCCGAGGAGGACCTCTCCACTCTCAGCTCGACCTCGTTGCTCTGGCTCGAGCGAGCCGGCGAGCCGGACCTGTTCGAGGTGTTCTCCGTTTGCGTCGGACTCGACACCTTTCTGCTGGCAGGCGATCCCTCGATCTTCGAGAAGCTGCTCGACAAACTTCTCGGCGAGATCCTCGGGTCGGACGATCTCGAAGACGAGGACGAGCTGGAGCAGCTTCCGGACCGTCTAGGAGCCGAACCTCTCAGGCTCTCCCCTTCGATTTGATCCGGCGATCTCGGAGGCGAACTCGTCGGAGGCGGCGGCCTCTCCGAGGCGGGCGAGGTCTCTATAGAAGTCTGCGCTTCGCTGCCACGTGGCCAGCTGTCCGACGAGATCGTCATCGTGGTCGAAGTCGAGGACGTCGTGATGCACGTGGCGATCGTCGTCGTAGACGTCGAGCTGGCGTTCGCTCGCTTCTCGTTGCGACGGTTCAACAGTTCAATGTTCTGCGAGGTCATCTCGATCGTTGCGCTCCGATCGCGGAAGAAGTCCTCCTCCAGCGATGACGGAGCCTCCATGCTTCGGGGCTGCTTCTGGGGGCGAAAAGAACGGGTACAGCGTGAGGAGAAGCTTCGAAACTGGTGCAGCTCTTAACCCTTTCGGTACGAGCGCCGGATATATTCGGCATCCATCTGGTCACCTGTGTGGCCGAGCGCCGGATATATCTGGCACTCGTCTGACGACCAGTATGGACGGGTGCCGAATATATCCGGCATCCATGTGAGAATTTCTGACATATTAGAAATTATCCTAATAACCGTTTGAATCCCAAGCAGCGTGATCGCGCAGTTCAGATCTTGTGTCGCGATCAAACTTTAGCGACGCACGTACATCGCATAGCTGCTTTTTTTTCATTTGTTGCTCTTTTTGTTTTGTTTGTCAATCTTGACGAGCGCTATCGTGTCGCTTGATTCTCTTCGCAATCAATTAAGACATCTATGAAGATGTTCCAAGCTCAGATCTTCCAAGCCACTCCGTCTCTGTGGGTCCAGAAATTTCTAAAGATATCAGAGACCTTCTAAAATTTTTGAGACTAATGATATTTCTATATCCTTAATTATATTATTTATAAATATTATATTTAATTTATATTATATATTATATCATAATACTAATATTATATTTATAAATATTATTATATTTCTATCCTTAATTACCCTATTAGATAGGGATTAGATTCGGAATTGGTTCTCTGAAGACAAAGGAAATAGTATGGCGAGTGCGAATATTGGTGATGATTAACTCCTAAGCCAACAGGATTTGATAGACCTGGTAAAATTGTTGAAAGCTCAACACCTATTAGTAGATTGTTAATAAGTTAAAATGTCTTTTAGATCGTCCAAAGCTCCCAAACTCTGTCTCTTTAATTGACGCTCAAATTGTCCACAAAAATGGACAATTTGGGAAGCGGAGATACGATTATTCGAGCCTTGCGCCTCGTTTTTATAGTTGTTGACAATTCGTAACTATAAAAATAAACCGCAAGAATCTTCTTAAATTATCTATTTTTGTATAGCATCTGAGCGTCAGTTACAGAGACATTACTGTATCGGGTTGTTGCAAAAGTAGCTTCGGTCTCCCAAATAGATAGCTTCCGAAACCCCCGAAATTACTTTCGCAGCAACTCGATAGACGATTCTAAAGAGACGAAAGAGATCCCCAAAATTCCTGATAATCCGATGATGCTTCAGAAAGTTCGACACCGACGCTAACTACTCTATCAGGATTCCCCAGAGGCGATTCGACTCTATGAACGCTAACAAAGCTTGTCAGAGCAAATGTCCGCTGTGTCGCGCTGGATAAATTCAGCTGGTGTAACGAAGAAATGTGTTCTCACCTCTCTGTTCTGAGGTAGGGGTTCGCAGCTAGCGGCCAGCTTCCTCCGTTCCCGCTCCAGCTGCCGGTTCCTGTCGTTAAGGACCTCGACGCTCTGCGGCGACAGTCTGTCTCTTCGCTGCTCGTACTCGTGCCTCTTCTCCTGCTGCCTCTTCTCCAGATGGTGATGATGATGATGATGGTGGTGCTGATGCCGGTCTTCCAGATTGTCGTTGTTATTGTTCTCGGCGGTCCGGGATCTCGCGTCGCTCGCTTGCAGTTTCTTGTTCAGGTCGTGCGACAGCTTCCCGATCACCTCCGCCGAGTGGTGTTGCTGCTGCTGCTGTTGCTGTTGCTGCTGCTGAGCGGCACGCTCCTCTATCCGATGATGAAGCGCGTCCACGCTGTGCGACTTGGACAGCTCCGGCTGGTGATTGTTGTGATGGTGATGGTGATGATGCTGCAGCTGATGATGAGGCGTCACGCGCAGCAGAACCGGGTCGTCGTGATCCCGCGGCGGTGGCCAGTCCTCTAATCGGGACGTTGGCGACATGGTCCTCTTGTAGCTGCCCTCGCTATCGGGCGCCCCGCGCTCCCGGCGGTACGCCAGATAAGAGGCCTTCGACTGGCTCCTGCAACCGCAAAATCGATACCGCAATTAGCCAATTTCACACACTTTCGATTCCACACACCCGCGTCCATATCTATTGGCTTGGGGAATAAGTTCGTAGCGTTTTTATATTTTCTTTTATTTTACAACGAGATTTTTTGCTGTTTCACAAAGTGTATTATATTCATTCTATAGAGCTCTTTCTGCTCTACAAAACTGTGCTAATCGTCTCTGTTTGAGTAATTTAATTTTTTATTACTTTTGAGGCTTGGAAATGGAATAGCCAGAAGGTATAATAAAAAGCAACATTTTCGATACCTTCTCCTCTTCGCTTTTCATTGAGGCTACAAAGCTGCTGAAGCAGTCTGAGACATTTGCAACATATTGAGAAGGTGTCATAGGNTATCATAATACTAATATTATATTTATAAATATTATTATATTTCTATCCTTAATTACCCTATTAGATAGGGATTAGATTCGGAATTGGTTCTCTGAAGACAAAGGAAATAGTATGGCGAGTGCGAATATTGGTGATGATTAACTCCTAAGCCAACAGGATTTGATAGACCTGGTAAAATTGTTGAAAGCTCAACACCTATTAGTAGATTGTTAATAAGTTAAAATGTCTTTTAGATCGTCCAAAGCTCCCAAACTCTGTCTCTTTAATTGACGCTCAAATTGTCCACAAAAATGGACAATTTGGGAAGCGGAGATACGATTATTCGAGCCTTGCGCCTCGTTTTTATAGTTGTTGACAATTCGTAACTATAAAAATAAACCGCAAGAATCTTCTTAAATTATCTATTTTTGTATAGCATCTGAGCGTCAGTTACAGAGACATTACTGTATCGGGTTGTTGCAAAAGTAGCTTCGGTCTCCCAAATAGATAGCTTCCGAAACCCCCGAAATTACTTTCGCAGCAACTCGATAGACGATTCTAAAGAGACGAAAGAGATCCCCAAAATTCCTGATAATCCGATGATGCTTCAGAAAGTTCGACACCGACGCTAACTACTCTATCAGGATTCCCCAGAGGCGATTCGACTCTATGAACGCTAACAAAGCTTGTCAGAGCAAATGTCCGCTGTGTCGCGCTGGATAAATTCAGCTGGTGTAACGAAGAAATGTGTTCTCACCTCTCTGTTCTGAGGTAGGGGTTCGCAGCTAGCGGCCAGCTTCCTCCGTTCCCGCTCCAGCTGCCGGTTCCTGTCGTTAAGGACCTCGACGCTCTGCGGCGACAGTCTGTCTCTTCGCTGCTCGTACTCGTGCCTCTTCTCCTGCTGCCTCTTCTCCAGATGGTGATGATGATGATGATGGTGGTGCTGATGCCGGTCTTCCAGATTGTCGTTGTTATTGTTCTCGGCGGTCCGGGATCTCGCGTCGCTCGCTTGCAGTTTCTTGTTCAGGTCGTGCGACAGCTTCCCGATCACCTCCGCCGAGTGGTGTTGCTGCTGCTGCTGTTGCTGTTGCTGCTGCTGAGCGGCACGCTCCTCTATCCGATGATGAAGCGCGTCCACGCTGTGCGACTTGGACAGCTCCGGCTGGTGATTGTTGTGATGGTGATGGTGATGATGCTGCAGCTGATGATGAGGCGTCACGCGCAGCAGAACCGGGTCGTCGTGATCCCGCGGCGGTGGCCAGTCCTCTAATCGGGACGTTGGCGACATGGTCCTCTTGTAGCTGCCCTCGCTATCGGGCGCCCCGCGCTCCCGGCGGTACGCCAGATAAGAGGCCTTCGACTGGCTCCTGCAACCGCAAAATCGATACCGCAATTAGCCAATTTCACACACTTTCGATTCCACACACCCGCGTCCATATCTATTGGCTTGGGGAATAAGTTCGTAGCGTTTTTATATTTTCTTTTATTTTACAACGAGATTTTTTGCTGTTTCACAAAGTGTATTATATTCATTCTATAGAGCTCTTTCTGCTCTACAAAACTGTGCTAATCGTCTCTGTTTGAGTAATTTAATTTTTTATTACTTTTGAGGCTTGGAAATGGAATAGCCAGAAGGTATAATAAAAAGCAACATTTTCGATACCTTCTCCTCTTCGCTTTTCATTGAGGCTACAAAGCTGCTGAAGCAGTCTGAGACATTTGCAACATATTGAGAAGGTGTCATAGGCGAGTCTACAGCACGGAAATGGTTTGCGAAGTTCGAAAATTGCGATTTTGACGTCGACGACACGCCCCGCAGCGGAAGACCTTCTGAATTCGAATTTAACTCAGGTTCCCAATTTTTCGAATTTTTCATAGAGCTCTATCGAATGAATATTATACACTTTGTCAAACGGCAAAAAATCGTTGTAAAATAAAAGAAAATATAAAAACGCCACGAACTTATTCCCCAACCCAATATATCTAAAATCAATCGCGACGCGAGAAAGCAAGAATCGCTCAGTAAAATTCGAGTAAAATTGCGAGTAAAAATGCTCCGTAAAATGATCTCCTTTAAATATTTGTCACCGTGTCAGTTGTTTTATTTAAACTATTTGCCGAAGGCTCGACGATAGCTACATTCGGAATGAATAAAATGAGATATCGTTTTAGTTTGAACGTTCAGAACGCACGAAAATCAATGCATCCGGTGGTACAACTTTCGCGCGACACGACTCGCTTCGTTTACGAATAACTCCGGTAATTCTTGATCGAACGCCTTGTAAAAATTGGCGCTGTTGGTCCAAACGTGTGTAAATGCGCATACAAAAGTGCAGCTTGTTACGTTCAACAGTTTATTGGATATTAATTCGAAAACATGGTAAACAAATATACAGCGTATAAGATACACATTTATGTCTTCGTGCTTGCGCGTAATGATGCAATACATATTTGTTCAACATATTAGATTACAAGCAAAACATACAAAGTCGCGTTGAAGCGTAAAACTAAACTGTACGAGTATGAACGATGCTTATGGTACAATTTTATGTACCATAAGCTTCCACGATCAAAGAATTGAGGACGAAGAAGAAGCTCCAGACGCAATCGCGATTGGAAAAATCGCACAGCGGACGAACAGATGGAACGAAAATTGCCGCTGCGATGGCAGGGCAACAATCGTGGTCGTAATCACGCAACACCTAAATTTCGCGCGGTTCGTCAGTCGTCAGAAATAAATGCGCGGAAATAGAGCGACAGAGCCCGAAGTTGAAAACAAGCAGAACAGCGCGTCCGACCGTCCAAAAATAAATAGTCACATCTGCCGGGCGCGTCCTGCGGGCGGTCGGCAAGGTTATACTTGAATTTCCAGTAGTCGCGACCGGGCCAGTCCGGGATCAAGTTCGTTCGAATTTTGATGAGGCTCATTGGTATGGACATCGAGCGGCGGGCGGCTTCTCTCTGATTCGATCGTTATCCGAAGCGTATTGTCACCGTGCTCGGATCAACGGGCCGGCGATATTCGTTTCAACCTCGATCCCGGACCACGTAAAACCGTCGACGTACACGCGACGGCCGCGTGTAAACACGTGGCCTTTTTTTTCAATCCAGATGTCGAACGCGCTCTTCCCGGGGCAATTTGCTCGCCGGACAGCGCGCGTCTTGCAGAAACGAAAAGAAAAAACAAACAAACTGCGCTCGCTCTTCGATGCATCTTGTTGGATTTCATTTTTCGAAAAAAAAGGAATTTTCCTTCTTATTTATACCGATGGTTTAAAAAAAAAGTGATTCCGATAAGTAGGTGAATTCGTGAAATTCGCGATTTCTCTGGCTTTGGAATTTTGTGTCTCGGAAACCGATCGGTCGGCTTGCTCGAAACTTGGACGACACGGTTTATTCTGATCTCAATTAATTGAGAGAGTTATAATCATAGTGGCAGCAAATTTATTGTTAAGATAATTCAGTATTAAGTTAATTTGTAGCAATTTTATCATTTCTCTCATTCGTCTCTTTGTAACATTTTGGCATTTATAGATTACATTTTACACGAGTAACGATTTTCAAAAATGTGATGGCATCTATTTTATTATTAACACTATGCCGGTGGTACCACTTTGGTGCCATTTTAAAAAACTGAAATAACATTTGAACTATATATCTTGGGTGTTAAAAGGCAGCAAACTAACTATAGCATTGTACTTATTTAACTAAGAATTAAGTACGAAAAATTCTTGCATGACATATCTTAATTTTAGGAATTTATATTACCGCCATCTTCGAAATTTTTTTAGAAATCTAAAATTTCCAAGCTATTATGCCGGCGTCGAACGAAAGAATCATATCTAAGATCTGTGGACGGCATAGTGTTAAGATGAAATTACCGTTCTCGCGTGTGTAAGAGTTTTTCATGTATTTCCTGAAGGTTGCTCAACGAAGCGACAAAGGTTTGAAAAGAATACGTCAATCAGTTCTCTTCGAAGAAATTCCCGAACGTTGCATGCTCTCTCGACTACGTAATCAGATTTTTGTGGTCAGGTCTCGGGTCACAAAAATAATCTTCGTGATCGCGTACATCGTGTAAAAAATCTGCGAGACGCCGGAGATGCAATCTCTTCCCATGTTTTCAATTAACGATCGACGTCGGGCTTGTGAAATTTTTCTGCTTGAGCGGAGAGCGCGTTAAAAACCGCGCAACCGCAGCAGAAAACACGTGTTTGGACGTAAGAGAAATTAAGAGTGCAATTTCTCCCGCGACTTTTACTCGATCGGCTCTCGCGGAACGTCAGATATTTCCATTCCGTGTTCTCATTTGTCAACTCGGGCTCGGCGGATCGAGACGTTTATGCGGCGACTATGCAAACACTTAGCCGGTAGACTGTCTATATTTATCGCGGCAGTATCTCCGCGGCGAGACGCATAGCTCGCAGCGTAAAAAAAGCTCGTTTGCATAAAACTGTGCGAAAGAATTCGATAGAATGTGCCATTCGCGCGCAGACAAGCTCCGCTGTCCCAGTGATAGATACGAGATATTACCGCACCGGTTACACTGTTGCATAAACAATCATGTAAATTCGCCTCTCGAACTTTCCCGTTTAATTTATTGTAATACCCGATGATATTTCCCTCTCGGCGCATAATTGACACCTAATTACAGGGGGACTGAAAACAAAGTCAATGGAACAAGACGTTCGCGTTGCAGAGAAACGATTCCCCCGGCTCGTTATCGTGTCCCAGACCGTTAAATATAATTTATTTCCATATTTACAATCGTGCATGGGATTGCCGATTCCGCTTGTCGAATATGCCGCGATTCCTCGAACCGAACAAAGTGCTCTTTGCCGAGAGTAAAAGTGAGCCATTGTTCGGCGAACCTTGCGAAATCTATCCGACGCATCCGAGATGATTAATCGGTGCTCGCGGTTGATTAATCGTGGATCACCGCAGATCCGAGCTGCCCTAATCGCGACCGGATACACGGATCGCTGGGCCACACACGCGAACCCTCTGCATTTTTCACTTTGCTGGTCAAAGGTTCAAGAAAATTCCGATTTTTATATTTTTTTCGAGCTCGTAGAACAATCTTGCACGCTTCAACAATCCATTTTGGTTTAGAATTTTAATCAATGTTGCGGAAAATTCATCAATTCGAGAATATTTTTGGACAACGACGCGATTAACCGCCTCTACAATAAGCAACAGTCAACGAAATACCAAGAAAAGAATATTATTATTATTATTATTATTATTATTATTATTTATTATTATTATAGGTGACGTAAGATATTGGCAACATCAGTGATGCAACAGAATAGAAAATTAAACACGTAACGAGTTAATTAATGCGAGCGCGGTCTAATGGCTTTTTAAACTGATTACCAGTAATCCTGCTAATAGTAATCCTAAATGATACTCGATTATAGGATAAAAAGTTTTAACTCTCCGACGACTATTTTTCTCGAAATAGTTTCCTGAGCGTAGCTTAGGTTTTAGCGATTTTACCAGAGAAGCACTCCCGGCAGTAACGATAAATAAATTGCTATATTTTACAGCAGATTTATCGATGGTTTTATTGGTTGCGCTAAGTTATTGCTCTCGGGGAGCCCTGTCGGCAGGTGAGAAATTCTACGATAAAATAGGTGGCCATCAGCGTTAATCGGCGTTTCGCTTCCGAGTGCTATTCCTTTCCCAGACGATTTTCCGTCGAGATGAGAGCGAAAAACGATCGGATCTTCGGAGCAGCCAATCGCTGCCTCCTTCTGTGTCTATCCAGGATTTCGATTATATAAGAACCATCGCGTATTCCGTGCGAACGCCCTCGTACACAGGCCAAAGGAAAGTGTAACATCTGTTCGCCTAGCCAACGTTTTGTTAGGCACGAGCGGAAAAAAAGAAATCCTCCGTCTATTGGGTAACCGTACTCTGATCCTGTTATGCTATCGAGATGATTGATACGCTTGTTTCTACGCGAAAGTGTCTTTTTCCGAGACTTTAATGATCGACCGTCTTTTGCAACCGTCTTTTTAACGAGCCGCGCTACTTGAAAAAAAAAACGTGGGACCATTTTTGCCGCATCGTTCTTCTGGTTAACGAGACAGAAGAACATGTAGTTCTCGAGATTGGGGAGCCAAGTATATTTTATCTATTGTGTTGGTCAGACGCGCAATTAACGCGTCGAGTGCCGAAGATCGAGCAGAAAAATTCTCACAAAATTAAAGTAATTTAATTAATGAAACCGAAACCACAAAGTTAACATTTATTTTAGTGGATGGAATTTTAACTTTTCCGTATTCTCTCTAAATGTCCTAGCGAAATCCACAGTTCGTTCGAATATATTACGCCAAAAATTAATTTTGAAAACTAGTCAAAA